ATGAAAAGTTAATTTTTAACTTTAAATCCATTGGTTTTCACATGTTGTACGAGTTGGTAATAACCATCAAGAAAATGTATACTTCATTGGATTCAGAAATATAAAGCCATTGAAATTATAATTATTTTTTGCCATTGATATACAATAAGAGTATCTTAATATACCTTCAAGAAAATATCTTTTACAGTATTGGATTCACAAATATAAATTGATTTAATGTAATAGTATTAACTGATATGCAGTTTTAAAATACTTTGAGATGAATGACCGGTTTACTAAGACACTATCCTGTGTTATAAATGATAGGTGCTTTTATATTGAAAAGAAAAAAAAAACATGATACGTTTTAATGTTATTGTTACCTATAAATAATCAGATATTTACTGTAAATTATTTTTAATTAAAATATAACGTTGGCATTTTGATACCTTAAAAACTTATTAGGTATATTTGAGATAAACATGCTTTTATTATTAAAAAAAAAAAGAGGAAGTAATGGGCCTTTATGTTTTTGTTCCCAATCAAAGTTTCTTTTAACTTTAAATCCATTGAATTTCATATGTTGTAAGAGTATCATTTGGTAATATACCTTCAAGAAAATGTATGTATTGTTTTTTAGTCTTATTTCATTTTGTTGTATTTTTCAGAGAATGCATGTAAATCCAAAATACATAATGCATGTCAATTTAGTTGCCAAAACCATCTGTAAAATTTGATTACAATTGTAATGTAAAAAGAAAATACAGGCAATATGTTACTAAATTGTATACAGTTTTCTCTGTAAATTTAAAGATATGTACGTAAAATTGATTAACTTATTTTCTGTATTTTAAAACTGTATGTAAAACTGGTTTACAGATTTTTTGTAAATTTACAGAGAAACTGTATACAATAGTAACATATTTTTTGTATTTTCTTTTTACATTTGCAATTGTAATCAAATTTTACAGACAGTTTTGGCAACTAAATTGACATGCATTTTTCTGTAAAAATACATAATTATTTTTTACAGTGTATACACACACATATATATATATATACATACATACATACATTATAACATACATACTTATATGTACGGTTGGGTCAAATTTGTGTGGTGGTTGAAAAATACAGGAGTCTTTATGGCCCAAAATAGTGATTTCAGACTACATTGGTAATGTAATTCGACAGGCAAATTACAGTAACATTTTTAGCACATTTCTTTGAAAAAATATGTATACAGTATTTTCATTTTACAGTAAGTATTTTGGAACGATATCGGAAGTGGGGGTGCTGGCAGTGGCCTGCTATTAGGACTACAATTTATTTGAAAATATCTTGGGTCTAACTACCCTCGCATCGCAGTAATACTGAACTAGGCCTACCTTAGGCCT